AAATAACCTTTCCCTTTTATAGTTGTCCCTAATTAAAGGCCTGTCACAAGTGGGCAAGTATATAAACACAAGCAGGTCTGGTAGAAGTAATTTAGAAAAGCATTTACCCGAAGTCATAAACCTGAGTTACAATATCGGCTTCATTTCATAATTCGGGATTTAGCGGTGATGGTGTAAAATAAAGGTTTATCATCCTGCTTTCCATCCCAGCCCTGCCCTAGGGCCTGCCAAAAAGATGCTAAAGATGGGGGACAAAAGAATTCCAGTTTTAATATTCAGGCTCGCACCTCACTATGGTCACAGATGGCAGCAGTTTTGTGCTCCATTTATGAAGTGAAAAGTTTTCCTTGATCCAGGAGCTTGAGTTGCCTGTAGTTTATCCATTTGAATTCCCTTTGCAATATTTTTTTTAATTTTGTTTTTATCCAGGTCACCACCCCCTTTTGGTCTTCATTTATAGATTCCACTAGTGTCGAAATTGTGATAATAGACCAATATGGTGACTAAAGGGAGTGGTCCTCTTCCCATTTGCAGCCATATATACGGTCTATGGTCATGGATCCTTCATGACAACGCTCTAATGGCTTTGCCCACATTGAACGCACCACGAGCACACTTCATATGGGGTCCTGTTATTTTATATCTGTGTATAAGAGATCAAAACTGAAGGTTTGCGTGATAAGGTACAGTGACTTTTTGTTGACACAAAGGTTAGCAGTAGAGCTGATCTTCCTGGAATTATTTTATAAAGAGGAACTAGACATGTCAGACCGCAGTTTAAACAACCCTGAGGGGAAAATACATTTCTTAACCTTTGTAGTGAGGCCAACCCACTGATGGGGGTAAGTGCTTGTTTTGGTCTAGATGCAAAAATAGTTCTACTCACCTGAACCTGGGATCCGGCAGCCTGTTAGTGCTCCCTCCAGCCTGTTGCCTCCTCTGCTCCAGTGATGGTATGTTGGCATTGCACAGTGTATTGGACTTAATGATTTGAGGATCTTTAGATTGCTACAGTGCAGGGTGAGAGAGGCCAAAAAGACTGGTCTAAAGGGCAGCCAGCTGTGAGCTTCGGGTAAAAAAAACCCCCAAAAATACCTTATTTTTGCACCTAGACCAAGCCCTTAGGGTTAAGATCCTTCCTGCTGGGATCTCCAGCCGGAGGAAGGAGATTCTGATTCCTCTGTATAGGTCTTTATCACTAGAGGGGTCCCCAGCAGGAGGAAGGAGGTCCTGATTCCTCTATATAGATCTATCACTAGAGGGGTCCCCAGCAGGAGGAAGGAGGTCCTGATCCCTCTATATAGATCTATAATTAGAACTAATTTAGCATATTGTGTTCAGTTCTGGAGATCTCACTTGCAAAAAGAGACTGCAGGAACCTCATATGTACAGCCTGGAGGAAAGGATGGACATGACAGAAACCTTTAAATACATGAAGGGTGTAAATAACGTTCAGGAGGGCAGGATTTTCAATATGAAGCCCAGATCAAGAACTTGGGGACCTGACCTTAAGCTGGCAGGAGGAAAGCTCAATACTGACTTTAGAAAGTATTATCTTGCAGAAAGAGTAGTTGGTACTTGGAACAGACTACCAGCAGAAGTAGAGCGTCAGGCTAAGTAAGTGATTTTTAAAAAGGTTAAAAAAAAAAACCCAAAAGAACAATCTGCACTAATATATATATATATTTCTCAAGTGCTGCCACCTGAAGGTTCTTCATTACAAAGAGTGGAATGTCCGATAAAACTGTTTTTGTATTGGACGAAGTCGGGAAGAGTCGGAATCTGTGCCATCATTTTAGAAAGCTGGCAGGGGGTTCTAATGCTCATTGCATTCCATTAAAAAGTGGAGTTCCACCTTAAATTGTGTATGTTGGAGCAATGAAATGGTTAATGATGAACTCTCAAAACTGGATGATGACGACGACGACTCAGCTGGCCACCATTATCCTAACAAATTCATCTCAGCTCCGCCCATTGAGGGTGCTTTAAATACCACTTTTCCTCCAGGTGCGGTAATATTCTTCCTGTGCACCTTGGAGGGTGTAAGGTCAGTTTTCGGCTGCTGGTGAGGTGGGTTTTATATGGAGTCCTGTGCTGCGTGGTTGGGTTCTGCTCTTTGATGGTTTAGTCTGAGTCCAGCTCACTGATATATATATTCCCCCACCTTCCCCCTTGGGTCACATTGAAGGGGACTTCACAAGTAACCTCACTAATCTGGATCTGTTATGTGATCGCTCAATGTCTATGGGCTCTGCAGTCAATGAGCTGTGTATACTATTGAATTGTCTTTCCTCAAATTCCTGCCAGGTTTTGGTCCTCGAGCTGAATCTGATATGTTTGGGTTAGGAGTACTTCAAGATCCAGACATCATTGTCCTGCTTCCCTGATGCTTTGTTGGGGTAACAATGAGTGTAGAGGACAGGAACCCATAGCCATAAACTGGCGGCAGCCATGTGGTACAGAGTTCCCAAAGGACTCTTGGTGACAGATGGCATTATCATTTTCCTGGTACAAATCCTGTGCCAACATATCTGTGTCCTGATATATATAACAGGTGTTGACACATGGTGGTGGAGGGGGTGTTATTTTCTGTAGGGTCCCTTCACCGATGTCCTGCATTTTCCTGTTCCAACCATTTAACTAACCTCCTTGGTAATGGAGGTAACATGCTTCTGCCCACAGGCTTATCTATACTCATGATTGGCTTGTCACGTTGTGTTTTCTTTCTCACATTGTCCTACAACAGGACCCATGGGTGGTTGAGTATCCAGTAAGGTCTGTCTGGTCCATTGTGTCTGCTCCTCTGCAGAGCTGGGTTCAGGGTATCTTTGGATCTGTGACGGTCCATCCCGGCAGGTGCTCACTTGCTGGAGGTATTGAAGCTTCTTGGGGGGTATGCAAGTATATTTCAGATTTGTCTATATATATATATAGATATATAGATGAAGACAAATGGTGTGGACACAAGTGCCGGCTCCTCTATTGAGGTGGAGTTCTACCAGCTCCACAATATATTTCAGACCTGCTGTGCTGGGACACGTAGGCTGGCTGCTTGTCCTGGGAATGCTAACTGTTTGGTTGTTGTGTTAGGCCAAAGGTTTTCCATAGCTGCTTACTGAAAATAAGCCTTATTTCAGATTTGTCTAAATGGCTGAAGACAAATGGTGTCGGCTCCTCTATTGAGGTGGACTTCTACCAGCTCTAAAATATATTTCAGACCTACTGGACTGTACTGGGACAAGTAGGCTGGCTAGTTGAATTTGAATTTATCAACTTCATTATTATGCTCACACTTGGGGACTCAAATAGAGTTAGGACCACACTTTGCAGAGGTGCCTTGGCGGTGGCGGTGCGGCTTCTACATATTTTTGGCCAAAGGTTTGTGCAACTAAAACCTCTGGTTTTTAACGCATACCGTTGACAGGGTAATTCGCTTAAGGCTAGCTGGCAGGTGCGCTGGGGATCTTTTTGTGTTTTGTATTGTTGTAAGCCTTCCCATGTACGCCCTGCTATATATATTATTTTCTTCTGCTATATATAAAGGCTGGTTATAGATTCATGCGGTTGCCTTTCTTTTTCTAGTTTGGCTGCTTGTCCTGAGAATGCTAACTGCTTGGTTGTTGTTTTAGTCCAAAGGCTTCGATAGCTGCTGACCGAAAATAAGCTCTGCAGATGAATCTCTAGCTAGTTCACCTCGGTGATATTGGGGCATCAGCATGACAGCCAGGGAAGAAACATTTTCAGGCCATGTGTGCTGGGCTCTGCATCTGTCAGCACAGATCTCCTCTAATGTTGTTGAAGTGATAATTGTATGATCGTCTCTTTTAACTTTCAGATGATGGTCACACTGGTCCTGGTGCTGTCCATAGCAGCAGCTATTAGAGGTATGTTTTGCTCCGTTCCTAATTCCCCTCCATGCTGCCGGTAGAGCTTTAGGTGCAAGGAACTCTTCATTTCACTCATTAGGCTGCTTAGATTTTTTTGGGGTGTTTTCAGAGAATTTTTAATCAACTGTTTTTTTAATGCATTTTACTGAAACCTCTCACCCCTATAAGGGGACTCCCTTTACCTTCTGCCAGGACAGGATGGGGGGGATGTCCAAACTTTCTGTAACTAGAGACAATGGGGACTCTATGCTTGCCCGTCCTGGTGACAGCCGCTCCACCCCTTGTCATATGGGTGTCACAGAAACGGCAAGTGAGATTTCTCTCCAATGGGGTCTTCAAGCTTGCGCTAGACAAGAATACAGTTGGCTGGAGTTCTGTGTCCTTGTTCTACCTAGATGTGGACACAATGGGACTCCTGACTGCTAACTGCAACACTCTTGAGTTAAGGGAATTCAGTTCTGGATGAACAATGCTTGTAGCAAGCCTTTTGGTGTAGCCTCTAGATCTAGAGTTGGGATGAGACAAAGGCCAAACCAAAAAACCAACCGTGAGGTATTGGACCTATAAGCTCATCCTGTACTGAGAGAAATTTAAAGGGAACCCATCAGAATACAAACATGGGAGCTGCCACTCCTGACCTTCCTTTGAGAATGGCTGACCTGTCTTGAGTCTCTGCTCCTGGAACTCTCATGGAGATGGTCAGTAAATGAGTATTGAAGCCAGGCACCTAGCATTCTGGATTTCATACATCTCTGGACAGTCCAAAATCTGTGGGCCATGAGACGAGATTTACCTTGCTAGAAGGATGGTCAGAGGACCCACAACTCCACACATCAAGCCCCCATTTTTTCTTGAGTGGGTTCAGTTCCTCAGCTGGTCATTTTTGCTCATGGTGCAACAAAAGGCCGATCCATAATCCACCCCGCTTGTTTCTCTGTCCAGCTGCTGAGGAGGTCTGCTACGACAGGCTGGGATGTTTCACAAACGGCCCCCCCTATTCCAACACACTGGAAAGACCGATCAGTCGCTTACCATGGGCACCAGAAGTGATAGACACGCAATTCCTGCTCTTCACTAGAAGAAACCCTGACCAGTACCAAGTAAGTCTGTAGAACTGGCTGTACAGGGGAGAGGGAAGGTTCTCCCGCCATCATAGAAACCAAGTTTCAACAATTTTAGTTCTACGTCACCACTGGGGGTAGGTGAACCCTTTTTGTTCCAGTCCCAGGACAGAAAATGAGAGGAAATTGTGGTTGGGGGTCCTTTCAATGGGGACCCCTATTTGATTGAATGCATTTCCTTGTCTCTGGGACATGAAATGAGAATTTCCCCAGTGAGGCCAACACCAAAAATATGACCATCTCCAAGTATTGACTCTAGAGGCACTTACGGTAAATGGCACAACCTCAAAACACACTGGGTGCTCATTGTGGAAAGAATCGCAATGCAGTTGGCACTTTTGCTGAACAATTGACTTCCTGTAAGCTTTAAGGGCTTGTTCACACCAATGCAGAGCAGTTACAGAACGCATCCTATGTATTCCAATGGTATTTTGGGCTCTAGAACACACCATAGCATTCAGTTCCCAAGCATGTGGAAAAACTGCAGAATGCCCTATAATCTGGATGTGGTGGTCATCCTCTGTCAGTGACCAGGAAACCTGATTTATTATAAACTGCATGATGGTCGGGAAGTAGAACTGTGGAATGGTGGCGGCTGTATGATGTCACTTTGAAATTGGGTTGTCCCTTTTAATCTGCCTGGCAAATTACAGTTAAACTGCACTTTTGGGTCTCGCCAAGCTTTTAGCACATAACTCGCCACCAAGAAGCCTTAAGTGCCAGCTGGATGTTTTAAACCAAACCTGTTTATGAATAGTCGGTTTGCCTGACTAAACTTTGTGTAGTGTAGACCTGAACATTGGGGACAATTTGCCTTTTGTGGAATTAACCAAAGTTCAGGTCTACACTACAGAGTAAGCAGTCAGTTTGTGTTGCTGACGTTGGATTTGGTAGAAGGTAAACCAAGCTGGCTGCCATTGGTATGGAAGGGTGTGCAGGATGCATGACACTCAAAAGGGGGGCCATCAAAGCTTTGATAACAAGCCATGGCTACCGCTGCATTAGGTGGACTTCACAGTGCCCATTTTATGAAGGGGTAAAGCCATACCACTCTAAGAAAATGTGTAATGCAATGTGCTTGTCACTCAATCAAAGGAATCCTAATTAAATGTGGGTGGAAGTAGGTGGGTGAGCTGGTGACGTGGCCTGTTGGTCGGGTCATTGGCTCTCCCTAATCAGAGGCCCTAATCACCTCTGTTAAGCAGAGAATTCCGTGAGGTAGAATTATACGGTGGCCAACATATCAATGGGTTGTGCAATGCAAGCTGTTGTATTGATATTGCAGAATATAAGTGAGCTACGTGTGTGTGCCTAGAAAGACACGAGCTTCTAAAAACAAAAAAAGAAAATTTACAAAACTGGAAACAAGCCTTCCTATCCCGGGAGCCATTTGAAGCATATTTCATCCTTGAACACCAAGAATGTCCTCTTTTCACTCCCAATGGCTGAATGTTGGAGCATTTGCTGTACCAAAAATCAAATTTCTCTCATTCCTAGTAGCTGAGAACTGCACTGTATCTGATGAATATCTCTTCCAGGTGATCAGAGCTCTCAACGTCTCCTCAGTCTTTGGCACCAACTTTAAGCCCAGTCTGAAATCTTTATTCATCATCCATGGCTTTGTAGAGACGGGGGACAAGCAGTGGCTGGTCGAGATGTGTCAGGTCAGTGTTTCTGCAGGGAAGAGGACCTGGCTGACTTGTCTTATGACTTCTGACCTGCTTACATGATTCTCCTCTGTTGTAGACTCTTCTGGAGGTGTCCGATGTGAATTGTTTCTGTGTAGACTGGCGCGGAGGATCATTTGCCCTCTACACACAATCTGCCAACAATGTCCGTGTGGTTGGAGCAGAAATTGCCTATTTCTTGAACTTTCTTCAGGTATGTACCATGCTGGCAAGTCAAGATACATGGCCAGACGCTTGTGGTTTCATTCTACCCTCATCTCTGGCTCTTGACAGAAATTTAATTGCAAACAATGAGTGAGTTGCATTGACTTTTCATATGTCGGGGCTTGGTAAGTCAACTGACCTTTCTCCTCTCTCTCAGGCAATGTATGACTACCACATGTCTGATGTCCACCTGATCGGGCACAGCCTGGGGGCACACGTTGTTGGTGAAGCTGGACAGAGACAGGAGGGAATTGGAAGAGGTTCTGGTAGGTGGGGGCATAGTTCCTGGTCCTTATAGAATTATTTTATAAGGGTGACGCATCAATGTAAAGGTCCAGTAGATGTGTACTTGGTCAATTATATTTCATTCAAAGGAGAGTTTGGTGGTCCTATGAAGGGACAAAGTTTACTAAATATGCAAACTCCTTCAAACTAAGCTCTTTGAAGCTGGACACTGGCACATGGCTAAACACAGGAGGTGCTGACTTGACACGGTTTCTTTCTGTCAATTTAGACCTGGAATTGGTTCATCCACCACACAATTCAAACCCATCTCGGGGCTGGTAGACTTGCTGCAATTATTACCACTTGTAGGTCTTCCATCTCCATTCTGTGGTTGAACTGTAAAGTGAGAAGCGTCATACTCGGCTAACTTGTCACTCTCTCCTCCTATCAGCATGTCACTTGTTGGTACATGGCTACTGCAGCTCAGCTGACTGGCACATTGTACTGCTGTTCATGGACAGCAAGAGACTAATTGGGTCAAATCCGGTTGTGGTAAACCAACTCTGCCTGGAGTTCAGCTTCAATGTTCACGAAGTCATGCTCCCTCCTAATCTAAATTTGTGCTTCTGCTTGCATGGTTGGGGACCTTTTGATATAAGTAGCCATAACTTCTATCCATACACTAGATACAATGTAAATTTTACCCTATTAAAGTCTTCCAGTTGTGTCAAGG